CCAGGAGGGAGAGAGAAGAGACAACCAGGAGAGAGAGAGAGGAGACAGCTAGGAGGGAGAGAGAGGAGACAACCAGGAGAGAGAGGAGACAACCAGGAGAGAGAGAGAGGAGACAGCCAGGAGGGAGAGAGAGGAGAGAAGCAGGGGGGAGAGAGAAGAGACAACCAGGAGGGAGAGAGAGAAGAGACAACCAGGAGGGAGAGAGAAGAGACAACCAGGAGGGAGAGAGAAGAGACAACCAGGAGGGAGAGAGAGAAGAGACAGCCAAGAGAGAGAGAGAGAAGAGACAACCAGGAGAGCCAATTAAATTGAATCTCTTTACCGATGATGAAGAATTCCACTCGCTGACAAGCGCTCTTTTCCTCGGGTTGCGGTAAGAAGGTCACTTTCCAGGGAGGGACTCGCAGAGCTCCAGACACAGCGTCCCGCAGAGCTGACCTGAGAGACATCTTACGTCAATGTGAAGCATAGACAGGGCCTCTTAATGAGCCCACTGCTAGAAACACCGGAGATACTTTTCTCCTTCTGAGGGAATTCAGGAAATTTCCATCCACGGATAACATTAGTGGTAGAGTTTCCAGGGAGGGACTCGCAGAGCTCCAGACACAGCGTCCCGCAGAGCTGACCTGAGAGACATCTTACGTCAATGTGAAGCATAGACAGGGCCTCTTAATGAGCCCACTGCTAGAAACACCGGAGATACTTTTCTCCTTCTGAGGGAATTCAGGAAATTTCCATCCACGGATAACATTAGTGGTAGAGTAAGGATCAGTGTTAGCACTAGGGTTAGCCCCGGAGTAAGGATCAGTGTTAGCACTAGGGTTAGCCCCGGAGTAAGGGTCAGTGATAGCACTAGGGTTAGGGTTAGTCAATGATCAGTGATAGTACTAGGGTTAGGGTTAGCCCCGGATTAAGGGTCAGTGTTAGCACTAGGGTTAGGGTTAGCCCTGGAGTAAGGGTCAGTGTTAGCACTAGGGTTAGCATGGAGTAAGGATCAGTGATAGCACTAGGGTTAGCCCTGGAGTAAGGGTCAGTGTTATCACTAGGGTTAGCATGGAGTAAGGATCAGTGTTATCACTAGGGTTAGCATGGAGTAAGGATCAGTGTTAGCACTAGGGTTAGCATGGAGTAAGGATCAGTGATAGCACTAGGGTTAGCATGGAGTAAGGATCAGCGATAGCACTAGGGTTAGCTCTGGAGTAAGGATCAGCGATAGCACTAGGGTTAGGGTTAGCATGTAGTAAGGGTCAGTGTTATCACTAGGGTTAGGGTTAGCATGGAGTAAGGATCAGCGATAGCACTAGGGTTAGGGTTAGCATGGAGTAAGGGTCAGTGTTAGCACTAGGGTTAGGGTTAGTGTCTAGCATAGTTAAAAGTAGTTTCCCTTATTTAAAGAACATCGTCCCCTCCCCCCCACACACCTTTATATTAATCTCTCTGTCATAATTAATTTTGCCAAAAGACAATTTTTGACGCAGTTTCCAGAAATTGCCAATTTGTCTCACCCCCAGTGCCTGTCCCTCCCCCAATGACACCGGCCCTATACTGCTCAGTCACTTCTGCTGATGGTGACACCTCTACATCCTCTCCCTATAGTTCCAGACCCATGGGGTGCCGTTGAGGATTCCCCACCCTTGAGGTCTCTGATACCTGGACTGGACACAGTCCCTATTGCCTCTTTGATTGGTCCCCGAATACTTTGGCGGCCATTTCTGAAAAAAAAAAAACAAATCTTGAGAAAACAAACCATCAGTAAAGTGGGATGTTGAGCACAGCGGCCAATCAGGTGACCGCAGAGAAAGGGATGTGATTGGTCACAATGGCTGGGGACTTGTTTCTGTTCCCTCACCTTTGTATTTTTAGGAATTTTTAGTCACATCCGTGTGTTTCTCATCATTTCCCCAATTATTGGAAGTTGTGATTTTGGGATAAATCTGTGGCCCATCCTGACAGAATTACACCTGTATCCTTAAAGTGGCAGAAAATGACCACTACAGGTTCCTGGAGGAACGTCTGAGACCTCTGAAGAGACAAGCCACGTGGGGTCCCACGCCTCTCAGGATGACAGATCTCTGGTGGCATCTCACACACGTTGCACACTCACCTATTAAAGGGTGTGACTCTCTGGAATAGGAGGGATGTGACGGGGACATCGGGGAGGAGTGGTGAGGACAGTTCCAGGGAGTCCCATGTCAGTGCCAAAGTCCTCCTGACAACTGATACAACATGGGGAACAGGTTACACAGTTGCTGCACAATGCAAAGTGAGGGTCGTTCATTAGAAGTGCCTGGTGCATGCTGGGAAGTCCCTGCTGAGACAGAAGCTTCGGTACAGGGCAGTGATCCCGCCAGTAAATAGGATCCTCCCTCTTTTATGAATCTCAGGCATGTTCAATGGATAACCTCACACAGACATGAATGAATAGAAAACACCTCCACACATGTTGCAGTCATCAAAATGAATGAATATCGTCATAC